TTTTTTTTTTATAGTTTTTTGGCCTAATGAGTTAGGGCATTGAAAGGGTCTTTGGATTAGTTTTTTTGGCCGAATGTGAATATGTACTGTGAATGTGTATTGTGAATTGTGAAATCCGAATGCGTATTAGTTTGGTTTGTGCTGAATTTGGCTTAGTGTAGCTATGCTTTTGGTTTAGTTTTTTTAGTTTTTTGGCCGAATGAGTCAGGGCATTGAAAGGGTCTTTGGATTAGTTTTTTTGGCCGAATGTGAATGTGTATTGTGAATTGTGAAATCCGAATGCGTATTAATTTGGTTTGTGTTGAATTTGGCTTAGTGTAGCTATGCTTTTGGTTTAGTTTTTTTTTTTTTTTTTGAGTGAACCTCAAAACAAGTCATCAACCTTTAATATATTTCCACTCTAGGTCATCAATTAAATTTATTTGTAACACAAGTTACCTTACTAAAGTTTTAATCCATTTCAGATTATTCTGTTAATTTTGGCCGTTAAATAGTGACGGAAATCCATTTTTCACATGCTTTTGGGTTCAGGGGTATTTTTTTCCTTTTATTATTATTTTTTAAATTTTTTGATCTTTTAAATTTTATTTTATTTTATTTTTACAATTCTTCTTCTTATACTTCCTAACTTGTATAAACTGGTAGTAATTCTAAATTTTAAAAGTTTATTTTCCTTTTATATTTTAACTTCTAGATTATAAAATTTTTTTAAAAATATTTAAGAAATGAAGAAGAAAAATTCGAGTTAAAGTAAACGTGAAAATTAATAATTTACCATTTTAAACAAAAAGAAAAATTAAAATAATTAGCTAAGACAAGTTGTTTCTTCTAGGTTGTTTAATTTTTTTCAACTCAATTTAATTATTTAATTATTAATTTTTACGTTTCTTATTAATTTTGTTTATTTGTTTGTCATTCGTATCTTAACTTCTAGATTATAAAAAAAAGGAATAAGAAATGTGAAAATTAATAATTAAATAATTCAATCGAGTTGAAAAAAATTAAATAACCTAGAAGAAACAACTTATCTTGGCTAATTCTTTTAGTTTTTCTTTTTCTTTAAATGATAAATTATTAATTTTCATGTTTACTTTAAATCAAATTTTTCTTCTTCATTTCTTCAATTTTTTTTAAAAAAATTTATAATCTAGAAGTTAAAATACAAAAGGAAAATAAATTTTTTAAAAATTTAGAATTATACTACCAGTGTATACAAGTTAGGAAGTATAAGAAGAAGAATTGTAAAAAAAAAATTTTTAAAAGATCAAAAAATAAAAAAATAATAAAATGACAATAATACCCCTGAACCCAAAAGCATGTGAAAAATGGATTTCCGTCACTATTTAACGGTCAAAATTAACAGAATAATCTGAAATGGATTAAAACTTTAGTAAGGTAACCTGTGTTACAAATAAATTTAATTGATACCTAGAGTGGAAATATATTAAAAATTGATGACTTGTTTTGAGGTTCACTCTTTTTTTTTTGGCCGAATTAGTTAGCGCATTGATGTTTTCTTTGGTTGCCTTGTGTAGGATTGCAATGGCTAGCGCATCTAACTCGCAATATGAATATCACCCTAAACATCTTCAATCGGGGCCGATGGAAGATAAAGTGCTATACCGTCAAGCACAACATAGGTCCCAATCTGTCTTTGAGAACAAGGTTCACAACATTAAAACATTCCGCCTCAAGGGCCGTAGATACGATAGCGACTTTTGGGAGATATACAATAATCATACGGCATGGAGGTTAAGGAAATCATTAAGAGAGCCGATTTTGAGGGGATAATGAAAGTAGGCTATAAAAGATTGGATCTCGGTCTCATTACGACGTTGGTGGAACAGTGGAGGCCAGAAACTCACACTTTCCACTTCAATTTCGGAGAGGCGACTGTGACACTACAGGATGTCGAGGTCCTCTTTGGTATTCAGGTGGATGGTGACCCGGTGTACGGGACAACAGTTAGCCGGAGTGCAGAGGAATGGCGGGCGAGATGTGAGACTTATTTGGGATTCTGGCCGGCCCAAGTAAATGGCCAATTTGTCAATATTAGTGTTTTCGAGGATGAGATGGACCGTGCACTCCCTGAGGATTCCCCAGCCCAGCGATTCGAGCAAAGGACCCGGACACTAATATTGCATTTTATTAACAGTTTCATGTTTCCTACCAAGACTCAAAACACTGTCAATCTGCAGTTTTTGGCCCAGGTTGAGGATTTGGAGCAGTGTATTTGATACAGTTGGGGATCGGCCCTGCTGGTTGGTTTGTACTCTAGCATGTGCGAGGCATCCAAGTACACTATGCACGACATCACTGACTATCTATATTTGTTACAGGTACGTATTAGTTTTTAATATGTGTTTTAATTGTTTTTGTTTTCAGTGTTATAATTTGAAGTGTTAACATTATTATTGAAATTTAATAGGTATGGGCGTATGAGCGGATCGAGAGAATCGTGCCACACGGAAAAGGAATAGATTATATACTTGATGAGACCTCTCCATTAGTTCAGCGGTACGTATTTTCATTTCAAAATAACTTAATGTTTATTTTTATTTGTTTCTTATCCATCTTTTTTACTAATTCAAATGTAACCCCTTCGTGTTTGTTCATTAAGGTGGGAATGTAGGTACACCTACGGAGACGTCCCAAGGAGCAGCTTGCCACCTTTTAGAGATTAGTTAACAAGCTTGTGTGTTGAAGATGTAAGTACTTAATTTGGTATTTATATTTATTTTGAATTTTTTTCCGGTTATACCATTTAAATAAATTCTTTTTGTGCAGTTTCGGTGGCAACCATATGCAAAGGTCCTTGATAGACTCCCTGACTTCTGTAAACAAGGCCAAGCCATATGGACGACCAGGTGTTGGATGTTCTGTTGGGAAATTAAGGAACCCCACGAGTCAGGCAGAGTAGTGAGACAATTTGGATACATACAAGGTGTTCCCAGTCGCTCTATGATTAAAGATAACGCATCATTTCTTCTCGATCACGCCCGCAGTATGTCTAGGTATCCTAACAACAATTGGGTGGATCACCATTCCGCATTACTTCCTCACTGGAGAAAGAGAGAAAAGTACGTTTTACAAGATTTGGAGGTCGGATACCCTGGCCAAGTATATAAGGGGAACTATGAATGGTTCATGATGAATATTGTCAAGCTGATATCCAATCCCAAAACTTATGAACCTAAAGGATATGAGACTTCTTCGAGTCGAGTGAAATTATATGTAAGTTCATTCTATATTTTTGGTTTCTTATTTCTTATATTTTTCTTTTATTTTATTTTTTTTGTATTTTACTCTCTTAATTAACGTTCCAATTTCCTTTTCAGGGTGAAGTATTGAACAACATTCGCGTGAGTTCCGAGCTGTTTAGAGATAAACGAGATAATAACAATCTCCTAGACGATGAACTCGAGGAGCATTTGAACAAAATTATCGATCAAGCACATGCTGCTTTAATCTGGGTGTAAATGATGAGATTGACATGGACGATACCCAAATCCTGGTTGATGAAGAACCATCTATGCTCTCACAACCTCCGCCGGGTAAAAAAGCAAAATCGTGGTCGAGAGACAAGATTAAAGGAGGAAGAAAGAGAAACATAGTGATCCCCCCTCGGACATCGCAAGAACAAAATGGAGGTCAACAATGAGAGGGCGAGGCGGCTTCTTCTAGAGGCTCGCACATCCAGGTCCAGACTCAATTTGAAGACATTGGTGGACCCAAGACTCAATTTAGTAGAGAGTCGCAACCACAACCGGGAGTCCTATTTCTCACCATGGGACAGTCCCAATACCAACCCCAACCGCGTCAACAACAGGGTTCAATACTCACGTATCTTCAGAGGGAAGACATGAACCGGGTGGGGCCAAATAAATACACCCCGGATGCGCCAAGAAAGGAAAAGGGAAAAAATGAGCCTTTGATATATTTTTACATTTAAAGTAGTTTTTTGATTGATTTTGGATTAAAACTTGTTAATGTTTCGTTGTTAATCGAATGACGTTTATTGTTTTATTGCTATTAGATTTCTGTTTTTCTATATTTCATTGTTTTTGGTGCTGTAAACAAGTTTTGGATTGGTTAAAATCAATCCAATTTTTTTTTCCAGTTCTGACAAAGATTTTGATCCTCTCATTTTGTAAAGGACTCGGCTTTCACAAATCCGAATTGGTAGCTAACTGGGAGTTCTCAATTTTCAGAAAAAGAGCATATTCGGATTTCAAAAATTCGACTGTATCCAACTTCGGATTTCACGAATCCATATTTAGCCGAAGAAGTGTTCCTGATTTTCAAAATTCGTCTTCATTTTGGTTCGGATTCCTGTAATCCGTATTTAGCAAAAATTAATTTTCCAACACTTACATTTTTTTCTCTCCGGAAATTAATATTTTATTAGCATATTTGGATTTAAAAAATCCATAATATCATTAATTACATTAATTCCTGTCATTAACTTAATGTCAGATTTACATTATACAAACTCGTACTTCGATAATCCGATTCCAGAGGATTCGGATTTCAGAAATCTGAGTACAACCCTGATTCGGATCTCAGAAATCCGTAGCATATAGTTTTGTCCATAAAATTTTGGGAAGGTTTATTTTTGTCCAGGTCATTAATGTACAAGTATATTTAAGGGAAAAACTCATCAAAACTTAGGCGTACATGGTAGAAAGGCTAAAATGTACGCCCAAATATCATTGAAGTCCTTGGAGCGAGAAACTTCCAAACACCTTACGATGTCGTTTAATTCGTCATAAATCAGAATTTGCTCTTTTGATTTTATTTTCCATTAAATACAGTAGTAGTCCTACAGCTTCAATTCTGTGAACTTCACCAATTTTCACAAAACTGAGTGGTGAAAAACCCAAAAAGGTGCTGCGAGAGTGTGGGGAAAACTAATTAGGGTTCTAATTTAATCACGTAGAGGAGGAGGGAGAAGAAGAAGAAGAAAAAGGAGAAGAAGTAGAGGATTCAGAAGCAGAGAAATGAGTATCTGGAACTATGTGGTGACGGCTCATAAGCCGACTAACGTTACGCATTCCTGTGTCGGCAACTTCACCGGCCCTCAAGAGCTCAATCTTATCATTGCGTGCGCCACCTTCACCCTTTCAGTTTTCTCTGTGTGTGTGTGTGTGTTTTTTATTTTTATTTAATTTTTTTTAACGGGGAAAAGGGTGTTTGGGGTGGGGGGGGGGGGGGGGTTTGGAGCTTTGACCTTTTTGCCTTACCATGGCGCTTTGATTGGAATTTCTTTGAAAAGAGAATTGCTTGTTTGTTGCTGGCCTTTGGAGTAAATTTGTTTCTTATCGACGAGTAATTGTATCCTAAAGGTTGCTTATGTCAATGGCGAAAAGTTGTTTTCACCCATTGTTATTTTAGAGAATCGATGGCTTGAGTTTTGCTTTGATTGTTTCTGGGGTTTTGCTATAGAATATGAGCTGCTTCCTTCTTCTAGGAATAGTTATTATCTAATTAAAGCAGAGTTCTATGCAATTAATTTGGCATCAGATTGGTTTTGGATTAGTACTATTCAGCTATGGCCTTCGGGTATATCAATACTGCGTTGTACTGAACCCTGGAGTCCTGTATTTGGGATTTTCGTTTGGGTTCAGGAATTAGAGGTTACAAGTCATAAATTGAAATCCTTTTTACTGAGAAGAACAGCATCTGGTAACTTTAATTAGTAGGGAAGCAGTTTAATTCTCCGACCTTGGTATGTGACTAGATTCAGCTAAACATAGAGGACCTCAATATCTCATTTACCTAGCTCCAATCGATAGTAACTAGTCAATAACAGGAAATGGACATCACAGTCTTGATAGATGGGATACATGGGATACGTTACTGGTTGCCTTTTTAAGTGAATGGGCTTGCTTCGATCTGTATTAATAGGCTTATAGCTTTAGGGTGTATCCTCAATGTTATCCTGCTTCCTGCTGAAAATGAGATGTAGATGTTTGCAATTGACCTTTATTTGACTTGTAATAATGTTGATTCTGGCAACTGTCTTATTGGTTAAAAGAGAGATCAGTTGGCATCTTGCTTAGAATCGCCTGTAGATTCACTGCAGCTTTTTCCCTTTCATTGGGTTACCGTGAGACCCATTTAGTATACATGCAAATAATTTTTGTGAGGTCAGATGTGTGGAGTAGAAAGGAGATATGTTATTTCTCATTCGAGTTCAAAATTAAGAGATGATCTTTTGCTTTCAGGAAATGCACGAGAATCGAGATCCATTTACTCACGCCTCAAGGGTTACAGGTGCTGTAGTTTATCTGTGTGAAGATTTTGAAGTTGTTACATTTGTGTTTCTAGAGTTGCTCTTCTTCCTTGTGTAGTATATATTTCCTGTATACAGTAGCTTTGAATTGTGGGATTTCGGAGCTCTTCTTTACCTGTGATCGAAGTGGTCTGCTCTTCATTTTTTTGGCCTAGATAATTTGCTTAATCAAATGACATGGCTACATGTGTGTGATTGTCTACTGAATGTTCTCTTGTTATTCATTTGCTCTGTTTATGCAAAAATTACTATTAATGAGAGAAGTTGGTGGGGAGTTGATATCATAAGTGGTCAAGTGAACGTTGTTTACAAAGGTGTAGATGTCAGATTATTTAGCTTTATTTAGCTTTGGGTGCATTTGTGTGTTCATGAATGTTTGGAGGTTGCCTCCATTGATGGATAGAGGCAATGTCATTTGATGGATGACAGGTTTTATCTATCCAAAAATTATTTCAAACCTTCCGAGTTCGTCGGATTGAAGAAATTTACTTCTCTTTCTTTAGCATCTATAGACATGGGAAATTGTTTCCGTTGTCATATGGTAAGGTGATAATTCTGATATCAAACATTTTTATTAAAAACTGATTGAAACATGAACTCACATTTAAGAAGCTGATATTGTGGCTAACCTTTTGTCAAGGTGTCACAAAATTCTAGTGATTAATTTCTTATCCAAGAAATAATATCTACTGTTAAAAATCATTCCCAATTTCAGAGAACTCGAAACCCATTTACTTCTATTTCAAAGGTTTCCCCTTCGCCAGGTGGCCAGATCCCCTATATATTTGTTTGTGTCCTGTTTCTATGCGGGCCAATGAAGACAACACAGCATAAAATCACATTAATGCTTTTTAGTTAGCTTCCAAAGATTATATATAGGACTCTTTTCTTTTCTTTTTTTAGAGGAGAAGGGGGTGACTAATAGATTAAAACCAAACTGTTGAAGAAGAGCAGTTTCAGACTTTCAGCTTTTATTCCACGTGGTCTTTGCTTTAGGGACCATCCGATTCATGTTGACAGTAACCTTAGCTGGGTCTCTGGTCACCTAGTGTCTTCCATCTTGTTCAATCAGATGATTGTGAGTGTGTCATACCGGGGTAGTTGAAGCAAATGAAGTTTTTCCCAGGCTTTCATTGCAATGTTCTTTACTTTGGTGTGGTAAAATGTGGAAGTTTTTTGCTTACTTGGTTGTTGAGAGGATAGCAAACCGAACTGTTGAAGAAGAGCAGTTTCAGACTTTCAGCTTTTATTCCACATGGTCTTTGCTTTAGGGACCATCTGATTCATGTTGACAGTAACCTTAGCTGGGTGTCTGGTCACCTAGTCTTCCATCTTGTTCAATCAGATGATTGTGAGTGTCATACCAGGGTAGTTGAAGCAAATGAAGTTTTTCCCAGGCTTTCATTGCAATGTTCTTTACTTTGGTATGGTAAAATGTGGAATTTTTTTGCTTACTTGGTTGTTCAGAGGATAGCAAATGTATCTCGTTTCATCTTCTGAAGTTTCACTTGATTTTTTTTTATTAGTGACCTTTGCACTCGACGAACTTGACCATAACGAGGTTGAATATCTGTTTACATGCAGCCTATGTTGGATGTACCAATATATGGGAGGATAGCTACGCTTGAGCTTTTTCGCACACATGTAAGTTTGCTTTCCTGCACAAGTGAAAGTTTTGGCTTTTCTTTTTATGAAAATTCAGTAGCGGCTCTTGAGATGCTTTGTTGTTGCGTTGGCAGGGTGAAGCACAAGATCTTCTGTTCATTGCAACAGAAAGGTACAAATTTTGTGTTCTTCAATGGGATCCTGAGGCAGCGGAAGTTGTCACCAGGTCAGATAACTGTTTTTGGATGTATATTTTTGGATATTGTCCGTGCTGCTGTTGACAATTTGGTATGAAGAAAAGGCTTACAATTTTGTGGCTTATCTTGCGTTCATCCCAAATAATTGCCATTGGGCTCAGAGTGAATCTTTATGTTATTGTTTATGTTGATATTGCTGTGGGAATGATATTAGAGGATGTATATGAATGAAATTGATTTTGTTGTAATAGGGCGATGGGTGATGTGTCTGATCGTATCGGCCGGCCTACCGACAATGGTCAGGTACAACATTTCTTGTCTGTGAAGTACTTTAAAGATGGATTAAATTTGTACATACATTCGTTTTTGTTCTGAGCAAAAGAAAGTGGGAAGACTCCGTATTTGGTGAAAGCTTTTTACACAGCTGATTTGACTTTCTCAATTTCTGCAGATTGGCATAATTGATCCTGATTGCAGATTGATTGGTCTCCATTTGTATGATGGATTATTTAAGGTATTCAACTCATTTTTTCAGTTCTCTCTTCTGATTTGATTCTTCGGGTCTGCTCATTACTGATTTTTAAAGTATTGCCTTAAACTTGCTCTCCTTACAAGCCTTTTTTTGCCGTAATCAGGTTATTCCATTTGACAATAAAGGCCAGCTCAAGGAAGCATTCAATATAAGGTATTCTTTACTGATCAGCAACCCATTTGGAAACAACATACTTTAAAAGAATAGCCTTGCTGCTTTAGGGCAAGTTGAAGGTTTCTGTCTATTTAAGTTTGCAGTGACTTCTGGGTTGTAAATCATGCTTCTAGGAACAAGTGAAGTCTTCCGGGCTGTAAAAAAAACATGTTTTTGAAAATAACTTCTACTGTTGATGTTAGAAGGTCCTTGGTTTTTGGATATCCAGAACTCGGTCGGCACCATTGTTTGAAGCTGTATTAATATGCCGCCTTTCAGTTGTCTGTTAGAGAATGAATAGTTTTATTTCTATGGATTTTTTGTTAGCATTGTCAGAGTATGCTTGGGTTCTGTTACCCAACAAATATTGCTGTTCCCACAATCATTTACACATGTGGCATGCTGGATTTCCATCCTTATTGCCTCATGGCTGCTAGTTGACGACGTAACTTTCTACCAATGATTTGAAGTTTCTCATTGTGATTGCATATCTTACCCTTTAGGCTTGAGGAGCTTCAAGTTTTGGATATCAAGTTTCTCTATGGTTGTGCGAAGCCAACAATTGTCGTTCTGTACCAGGTTTTCTGCTTCTCCCCTTTCTATATATTTGTCTCTTATTCTGTTGAATGCTCTGGAAATCGAAGCAAGATTTGGATAGAATTGTGGTTTGCTTTAACTGCTTATGTTTTTATGATATTGAATACCCATGTCCAGCATCATTTTAGATTCTGTGCATGTCTTTTGATGTCTCTCTCTTGGAGTTACTGTGAGTGTGCATGTCAGATTCGTGTTCTGGCAAGAGTTTCCATTGTATATCACTGAAGGCTTACATATGCTTTTGTCATGGTGTAATTGGACAGGATAACAAGGAAGCTCGTCATATCAAAACATATGAGGTGGCGTTAAAGGATAAAGACTTTGTCGAGGGGCCATGGTCTCAAAACAATCTTGACAATGGTGCTGATTTGATAATACCTGTTCCTGCTCCTCTTTGTGGAGTGCTAATCATTGGTGAAGAAACCATCGTGTATTGTAGTGCGACAAATTTCAAGGCTATTCCAATTCGACCTGTAAGTACCTGCTAATTTACACTTTTTTCTTATAGTGGGCTTCTAGGGACTAAAAGATTGAAAAGTTGTGTTGAGAATTTGTATAGTTGCAAATTGGAAATTCAAGGCACATTTCTACTGGTTTACATGTTTTCCGTTTGTGTTATTCCACAAGTCAATCACAAGGGCATATGGAAGGGTTGATGCTGATGGTTCCAGATACCTGCTTGGAGATCATAATGGTTTGCTACATCTGTTGGTGATAACTCATGAGAGAGAGAAGTAAGTTCTCATTCTCGGACCAGGTTTTTTTTGGGTCTTAAGAGTTCTTTGACAATGAGTTTATGCTCAATACACTGAATGAGCTCCTAAATGTGCCTTACAATTTATTCTTCTTTAGTTTCTTAACTAGTGGGTTATGGATGTGTTATTAGAGTAACTGGACTGAAAATTGAGCTGTTGGGTGAAACATCAATTGCATCAACAATCTCATATCTCGACAATGCATTTGTGTATATCGGCTCAAGCTATGGGGATTCACAGGTATACTTGTCATTTTGATTTTATCTGGAAACTAATAGGTGTAGTAGTTTGCCCTGTGTTTATTTAATATGACACTAAGATTCAAGTTTTGCATCCCTTGAACTAGCTTTTCCCCTGTTGAAGTGGGTGTGTTGTCTCTGGGTATGCACTAGTTGAAGCAATCTTACTTTCTGTTGTTAGAATGGTTAAGAGACATCAGTCCTGTTTAAGTTCAATAAATGGCACTCTGATTTCTTTATGCAATAATGTGGTATGAGCAACATGTTAATAATTGCATTATTGTGTGGCCTAAATTAGTTGGCAAATGTCAATTGTGGATTTTAGTTTTATCCACCTTCTCTGTTTGCTCGTGGCTCTTGAATTTGTTAGCTCTTGGCACTTGAATTTGTAGCTGAAGAACTTTGTCCGTTGTCAATTTGTTTGAAAATTATTCCATTTGCTGTAGACATCAAATTAACACCAGTAATTAACTCTGTTTCAGCTTATAAAGCTAAATCTTCAACCTGATGCAAAAGGTTCCTATGTTGAAGTTTTGGAAAGATATGTGAATTTGGGTCCGATAGTGGACTTCTGCGTGGTTGATCTGGAGAGGCAAGGTCAGGGTCAGGTTGTAACTTGCTCCGGAGCTTACAAAGATGGATCCCTTCGTATTGTGCGAAATGGAATTGGAATCAATGAACAGGTTGGATTGTGTAAGCAATTTAAATGTTTAAAATTTGAATTTATTGCATACATTTGGTAAAGCTGAAGCTCCTTTTCACTTCCAGGCTTCTGTTGAACTTCAAGGTATCAAAGGCATGTGGTCATTAAGATCATCCACTGATGATCCTTATGACACTTTCCTGGTTGTTAGCTTCATCAGCGAGACACGTATTTTGGCAATGAATCTTGAAGATGAGTTGGAGGAAACAGAGATAGAAGGTTTTAATTCCGAAGCTCAGACATTATTTTGCCATGATGCTGTTCATGATCAACTAGTACAGGTATGGGAATGCTCATATATTTTTTTTTGCAGCCTCAGTGGTACACTAGTTGAAGAGTGTTTGGTGTTGATATATCTTCTGTGATGAATGTACCTTACCTGCTAGGATGAGCTTTAATCAGATCTTTCGGTACTATGATATGATTCCCATATTAGAAAATGGACTAATTCTCTTTTACAGTAAAGGAAACAGGGTGCATTTTAGATGCTCTCTTGACTCATCCATGTTATTATGAACACTATGTTGGATTTCACGTAGGCTAATCGGTTTTGTTCATCCGACTTGTTATGCGTTGCTATTTGCTATTTACCAGAAGGATCTTTATTAACTTCCCCACTATTATAATTTTATTGATTTCATAGTTTCTCTGGTACAAGAAGATTATTTTAATTTTCAACTATGAGTATTGATGTTCCGTCAGTCCCGGACAAATCAAACGTGCATTGCTAACAATTTGTAATTGATGGCCTCCACTGGGATGATGTTTGGATACAGTCAAGCCAACATATCATGCCTCCTTATGTGTGAATATTGTAGCAATATGACCTCGTGACTACAGTTAGATATTTACTACTTCTCTTTAGTGTTGTCGGCTTGCTTTTATTAGTACTATTCTATGAAAGGGGTCTCAGGCCCATTTTGTTTTCGGAAAGTAACTTTCTTTTTTGTGCTGCAGGTCACTTCTAATTCAGTGCGACTGGTTAGCTCAAGTTCCAGAGAACTAAAAAATGAATGGTTTGCTCCTTCTGGCTTTTCCGTCAACGTTGCCACTGCCAATGCTACTCAGGTTGAGCTGGAATAGTTCTTACATTCATATTATTTTCCAATGCCACTTTTGCTTTACTTGCCTCTGGAGTATCTGTTTTGACTTGTTCATTTTGGAGCATGTTCTCAGCTTTCTTTTGAGTGAATTAAAAACTGAGCTGTAAAGTGAATAAAGTCTGAGATGTAATGTTTATTTTCCCATTTTAGACTGAGATAGGTAGCATCATTGAAAGGTTAGCTGATGATAAACTAGAGACTATTTTCTTTATTAAATTTAAAATATGATCCATTGATCTACTTTACTGAAGTTAACCAACATTCCTGAGAACCCTTAATTTTACGACTGTAGATGATGGGTCTTTTACTCTTCAAGTCGAAACCAAGTTTCACAGGCGACAGCTCCTTTTCTTTGTTCCATCACCGTCTCTTTTTTGGATTGATAGGGACTTGGTCGCCTTCTATTTTTTGGATAGTTAAACTGCTATAGATTTCTCTTGGTTCTTCTTTAGTATCTTGGTGGCATGTATGTTCATTTGAATAGTTAACTGTTGGATAATGTCTTCTACTTTGAATGTTTAACTTTTTATTGGTTCTAGTGGAATTTCTTCTTGAAACTTTTCTTACTTGCTGTTGAAAGGTTTTACTGGCAACTGGCGGTGGCCATTTGGTATACCTGGAAATTGGTGAAGGAGTGCTAACAGAAGTAAAGCATGCTCAGTTGGAGTATGATATCTCATGCTTGGACATAAATCCGATTGGTGAGAATCAAAATCATAGTAACCTAGCGGCTGTTGGAATGTGGACAGACATAAGTGTGAGAATATTCTCACTGCCTGATTTGAATCTCATTACAAAGGAGCCCTTGGGAGGCGAGATCATCCCCCGATCTGTTCTCATGTGTTCCTTTGAAGGGGTATGTTGTTTTCTTGAACTCTCTTTTGCAATGACTTTTTTAACTCTGTCATTATAAAATCTTCTATTTGTTGTTATCTATCAGGAATGTGTTCCGTTTTATATTCACCTCAACCTTTTTCGGAAAAGTCCTCCTTTTTTCTTTTTGTTTTGGTGAATTAGAAATCCTTGAATTTTAGTTTTTGCAAACCCCTTCTTCAATATTGTTTTCTTTTCATTTTGGCATCTCTCCTCAGTAGCTTTGATTTGTACAATTCAGGTGTCTTACTTGTTATGTGCCCTTGGAGATGGTCATCTTTTGAACTTCGTCTTGGACATGAATACTGGCAAGTTAACGGACCGGAAAAAGGTTTCGCTTGGAACACAACCTATCACACTGCGCACCTTCTCATCAAAGAATGCCACACATGTTTTTGCTGCTTCAGATAGGCCTACAGTCATATACAGCAGTAACAAAAAACTATTGTACAGCAATGTGAACCTGAAAGAAGTCAGTCACATGTGTCCTTTCAACTCTGCTGCTTTTCCTGACAGGTTCGTGTTTTTAGTTTTTCTTTTCAAGGTCAGTTTTTGGGTGTCAATTTACATTTGTGTCATCCTGGGCTGCAAGTTTCTGAAAGAGAAGTCATATCCCGAATGAAGATACTCCCTAGTTAAGGCATCAAACATTGTAGCACTTAATTTAGAAGTGAAACTATACATGCTGATAATTATTTTGTAAAGGTAAGTATCATGCTGAGAAAATAATTAATGATGCTATAATAGAGTTTTTATTGAGGTAGAAACGTTTAGTAGCCCCAAATCTGGAAGGCCTTGCATGGTGAAATACCCTTTAATGATTGTATTGAATGCTGAAGGTTCGGGTGGTATAATTGATTATCTTGAGAGATGAAGGATCATTTTATAATATGGTTGTCTAACAAGATGGCTTTGAAACTTATGATTTCTTGTGAGACAATTGTTACGAGTACAGTTAGATAAGTGGACGTTTTGGCGTAGGGACTTAATTAATATTAATATATGAAGAGGGACTTTCTTGTAATATGTATATGGAATAACTGATGCTAGATAACTAGGTCATTAGATAATTGTAACTCATGCCTGATTTTTAACAATTTGATCCTGTTCCTGAAATCAATAAAGTGTTTTGAGTTACTAGTTCTTGTAGTAGATGACATCTATATTTCCATTGACTGAAAAATCAGTATGTTTGATGTTATATTTTGGCTACCTTCTTCTGTTTTGTACCAGCCTGGCTATTGCGAGAGAAGGCGAGCTGACAATTGGTACAATAGATGACATTCAGAAGCTTCATATACGGTCAATTCCTCTAGGTGAGCATGCACGGCGCATCTGTCATCAGGAGCAGACAAGGACTTTTGCTGTTTGCAGTTTAAAGTACAATCAGTCATCCACAGAAGACGCAGAAATGCATTTTGTACGATTGATAGATGACCAAACTTTTGAGTTCATTTCCACTTATCCACTTGATCAATTTGAGTACGGCTGTTCTATACTAAGCTGCTCGTTTTCTGACGATAGCAATCACTACTATTGTGTTGGTACTGCATATGTTATGGCCGAGGAGAGTGAACCAACCAAGGTTAGTTCATTATCTTTTCAAGGATTGTAATAATCTCTTTCCTTTAAATGTCTGCGGTCATGAGAAGTTGTCCTGCTTAAATTCTCTTAGCCATTTTTTAACTTGGAAGAAGAAATGCTGAAAGTATATGCACCTGCTCTCTTTTCTGCATGTTCATCAGCATTCGTTCCTGTGTGTGTTTTCTTTCGTTTTCACAAATATAACTCTTTGTGCGCTTCGCCTCTAGGACTTGTATCAGATTGTTTGTGCAATTTGAACTTAACAGAGAAGACCGTTCTGTATTAGAAGTCATATAGAATAGCTAATTGTTCTATTTATAATTCTATTTTTCATTGTAGTTTGATGAACCGTGATTGTCATTTAGCATGTATTATTTTTGTTGGTTGGCAGCTGATTCTTGTTTTGTACTTTTACTTTCTCCATTCGCAACCTTTTGATTTGCTCATGAATTGTAGGGCCGAATCCTAGTGTTTGTTGTTGAAGATGGAAAACTCCAGTTGATTGCCGAAAAAGAGACCAAGGGGGCTGTATATTCCCTCAACGCTTTTAACGGGAAACTGCTTGCTGCTATCAATCAGAAGATTCAACTGTACAAGTGGGCGCTCCGTGATGATGGTACTCGTGAATTGCAGTCAGAGTGCGGACACCACGGCCACATACTTGCCCTCTTTGTACAAACACGTGGAGATTTCATTGTTGTTGGTGATCTGATGAAATCAATCTCTCTCTTAATTTACAAGGCGAGTAATCTTTTCCATATTTTGGAACCCACCTTTTGATGTTTTAACATTAAACATCAAAAGCATTATAATTATCTGTTGATACTCGTGTTTTCCCATCCTGTATGTGTACTATGCATCTGTTGTTTTTGTGGTGCATTTATTCAATATTTTCGTGTTTGTTTCTTAATTTGGTTTGTATACATTTCAGCATGAGGAGGGTGCTATTGAGGAGAGGGCTCGTGACTACAATGCTAATTGGATGTCAGCTGTCGAGATTCTTGATGATGACATCTACTTGGGCGCTGAAAATAATTTCAATCTTTTCACTGTCCGCAAAAATAGCGAAGGTGCCACTGACGAGGAGCGTGGCCGTCTTGAGGTGGCTGGTGAATACCACCTAGGTGAATTTGTGAATCGGTTTCGACATGGATCCCTGGTCATGCGGTTGCCAGATTCCGATGTTGGTCAGATTCCAACCGTCATATTCGGGACTGTTAACGGTGTTATAGGGGTTATAGCCTCGCTTCCAAGCGAGCAGTATGCATTCCTGGAGAAACTGCAATCAACTTTAAGGAAAGTGATAAAAGGAGTTGGAGGGTTGAGTCATGAACAATGGAGATCGTTCTACAACGAGAAAAAGACAGTAGAATGTAAGAACTTCTTGGATGGAGATCTCATAGAGTCATTCCTGGACCTCAGTCGCAATAGGATGGAGGAAATCTCGAAGGCAATGAATGTACCTGTGGAGGAACTTATGAAAAGAGTAGAAGAGTTGACAAGGTTACATTAGTAGGTTGTATCCTCAATCTTGGTTCATCTGTTTCATTTTTATTTTGGTTTATCTGTTTTTGATATGTGGAGACTTAGGACAGTAGTTTTCCCTCCCTCTTTTTGACCTCCTTTTGTACTAGTATTCATTGCCTTTTAATGTTTCCCTGTGGATACCTGTTGTTTATACTCGCTTAAAAAGCCGTTGGTATGGTGAAAAAAGCAAAGGAAGGTTATACCTCTCTACTTTGTGTGGATATATAAAGATATATTATGGTTTGTTTGTGATCATCTTGCCAATGTGTATCACTAGTTAACATTTGTGTTAAAATACTTTTAGCCAGTAATGACTGACAAATGCACTTACCGACTGCAAGTCACATTTCTAGTATATTACTACCTCTGTCCCCAAAAAAAGTGCATTTAGTTATGAAATTTGTACTAAAAATAATATAAAAATGAAAATTTAATGTGGACTATTTTTTGAAATGAAGGTAAGACATTATAAAATGACACGAGAGTCTATAAGATACTTTTCTTTCCATTTTAGAAAAATAATTTACTTTTGTTTTGGAAAAGTGCAAACATTATACTCAAATGTCAAATGAGCATTGATCACGTTTATATACGAGAGAGAATGTTAACCAATTGATTGTAGCTATATAACTGGATGATATACTTCATTAATCAGACCATAATCTTTCCTATTACTTGATTAATTAGTGTCGAAAAAAGGAGTTCTAATGTAATTTTCTAGTTTGCCATAAAAAGACTTGAGAGTACTTTGAAACAAAGGTAGACATAACTCAATTTGTGTTAATAACCAAACTAGGACTCGATTTCGATATTTGTTCCCCCCCACCCCGAGTAGGAAAAGAAGTCGATTTTTGGGTTTTTTGTTATACAGTTGCAATATTTTCATTTATATAATTATTAAAAATCTATCTAAATTAGTTCCAGTTTTTTCTAAAACACCACATTCAAAGTAAAATTTAAAAGACCATACTATTAATTGCAATTGACAATAATTGAATTTGAAAATAAAGAGTATTTCTCCGTATTATCTACATGTATACACGATTATTTATTATTAAAATAAAATCATAAACTCCGTGAATCTAATTACCATCATCCCTTTTACCCTATTAAAGCAGAATACATGATGTTGATGTGGCAATTTCTTATTAAAAAATTTTGGCTCCAAATGCACCGTATTACTTTAACCATTCTGTCACGTGTCATCCTTTTTTAAAAGAAAAAAAAAAACTTCTTATCCGGAAAAACAAAAGCTAATTTTACAAAAATAGCTACACAATTTTAACTCCTAACACTTATCATTTATCAATCAAATTAAGATACCATTTAAATTTGTTCATAAACTTATCTCTTTTATTACTCCACATTCTTTTGTATGATTTCTGCATTGGTGTACTTTTCAATATTTTTCTCCTTTTGCAGATGATTTTTTTATTTTTATTTTTATTTTTGGCTAAAAAAGAGAAAAAATAAATGTGTAGTTATTTTATTTTTTCCAAATCAAAAATTCATTTATCTATTAACACAAAATTAAAGTAGAGGGGGCGTCCGGGCATCTGCCTGGCCAAGCATCTAGTTACTTTTATAGAAGGGAAGGAAGTACTCTCTCTCTCTCTTTTCTTTAAAAAAAATTCAGATTTGCAAGTTAAGCAGTTTTGTAGGAACCACTTAAAATGAAGGGAAAAATGAATTTTCCTTAAGTCCACAAAATCATTTTTATTTTCAGAATAAACATGATCAGAAAGTATGATTGGGCTTTTTAAAGGAGAAAACTTATAGTTATTGGGCTTAATCTGTTGCACAAAAATTTGGCTGTAGCCCATTTATTTTAAGTCATACATATAACAGTCCTACTACAAAAACCCTAGCTCCTCCGTTTAAAGCCAAACCACTGTCCCCTCGTGTACGATTCCTCACATTTGCTAGGGTTTTCTCCGGCGGCGTAAATTTACAGTCGAAGAATCGTGCTTCCAGTTGCCCGGCGATAATGGTAGGTTTCTCGTCACTTCTTGGTGAACAACAGAGTCGTGTTTATGTTGTCAATGTTGTATGGAAGTTTCTGTTCCTTTTGCTGTTGGAATGAATTCGTGGAATATTGCATGACGTTTGAGGTTCTATTTTCGAAATTCGGATGGGTGAAAGCATGAGAAAATGGTCTGAATCTGTGTTAGGCTTTAATTCATCATCGTTAGGTATTTTTAGAGGATAGGGGAATGAATCTGGGGCTTTTAGTTAATTCGGCGTGTTAGTGATGAAGGTTCCTGTTTGATTACAGCTAAATTGGTATTTTTAGCTTGTACCTTAATTAGTTTAACATTAGTGAGGAAGAACTTTTGATTTATTTTTACGTAGACTGGCTCATGAAATTACAGTTTTCCACGTTTTGATTTGGCTTCATTTGTTAGGTTTTGTTCGATCTATGTATTGTGAATTTACGGAATTTTGAATCATTTCATAATTTGATCATATTATGGTGTGAATGATTCTGCAGTCGAAGAGAAGGACCAGGGAGCCAAAGGAGGAAAATGTTACTCTTGGGCCTGCCACAAGGGATGGGGAGATAATTTTTGGAGTTGCCCACATCTTTGCGTCGTTCAATGATACCTTCATTGTATGTTGGCTAAATCAAGAACTTTGTGTTGCTTTGTTTGGAGTTGTTTAAGATTTATCTTGTTGATGTTTCAATTATTGTTGCAGCATGTTACTGATTTGTCTGGACGAGAAACCTTGGTGCGCATCACTGGTAATTATTACTAGCTCTTTTTAGATTTTTTAAGGGCTTAGAATAAGATGCATGGGTTTCTGAGTGTTATATCATATCTGGGGACATGTAAGGCACTGGGTATCACAACTCACAAAAGTAATATGTATAGATAAAAATGAAAAACCTCCAATTCAAGTTATGTTGGATCTGCTTTTTTCACCATAATCAGATATGACAATAATTGTAGGAGGGTTTTGTGTTGAATTGCTGGTGCAGTTATCACTAAACTTGAAATGATTGAATAGGGAAATATAAATGTCTACTATGGTTTGCCAATAGCACAGCCTCTGTTTTTGCTATAAACTGTTTGAGAAATTCACATGGATGTTTTGTGATCTGCAAAAAGTCTTTTCTCAGTTAAAGTTGGCAATGAGTTGTCTACCATGATTCTGGTTTTATTGAGCTAATATCTTAATGCTGTGATAATTGGAGTTCTTAAAATTAATAGTAAAAGCCCGCTTGTACATTTCTCTTCTCGTTGTTGCGTTACTCGTACTGAAAGTACCTTGCTGAACGATCATTTTTCTGAATGTTACCTGACTTTGCAGGTGGCATGAAGGTTAAGGCTGATAGGGATGAGTCATCCCCATATGCAGCTATGCTTGCAGCACAAGATATTGCTCAAAGATGCAAGGTTAGCATCTTGTACCTTGCTTCGATGCAGAGTTTAAATGCCATTTCATGAAGTCTCTTATTTCTGTGTTATTAGTGATGTGCTTGTTTTTGTTTCATGTTCCCGTCTTTGAGATATTGCAATAGGTAGTAATGCTTTTATATATATTGCACATTGAATTATCGTTTGATGCACAATCCTTTTTGCTGTATCTGCTTTCTTGACAATTGCTTTGTGCAGGAACTTGGGATCCAGGCCCTCCACATCAAGCTCCGAGCCACCGGTGGTAACAAGACTAAGACTCCTGGCCCTGGTGCTCAGTCCGCTCTTCGTGCGCTTGCTCGTTCTGGAATGAAAATTGGCCGTATAGGTACTAGTTCTTAAACATTCCCATTTTGACACTATTTGTATTTTTACAAGTTGCAGGCTTCCAGTTTTGTTTTTGTTGTTAAATTTGATTTGGCAATGATAATTGTAATACTTCTATTTGCTCTTGCATATCTTGTTGTGGGTGGGGGATTCCAACAGGTTAACTTTATTATGCTGCTGCTACTACACATTATAATAATATTATAATTATGTCCTGGATTTGAGTTTTTTTAGTCATCAATTTTTTTGGTAATTATCATGTTAAGACGTGTATTTGGGAAATTTTTTAGAAGCTTGTATCTTCAAAATTGTATGCCTAATAAGTTAGTGAAACATAGAGCTATCATGTAAGGCTTTTCTTTTTGACTTGTGTTTTTCTTTTTCCCCAGAGGATGTGACTCCCATTCCGACTGATAGCACTCGCAGAAAGGGTGGTAGACGTGGACGAAGACTGTAAAGTTCCAGTTATATTATTGAATTGGACATTCCTTGGTTGAGGAATTTTGTAGTGTTTTTAATCTTCATTGCAAAATGGTGTCAAAACAGTGTTTAAGTGAAAGTTTAGATTGGTTAGATATGAAATCTTATCTTTTGTTCTTTCGCTTTGGGATTGGCATTTGACAATTGTTACTTTGAGTAATAGTTATGTTTTTACTGAGCCTGCCGTCAAGACAAGTCTTTACCTCGACCTGGTTATAAGATTATGTTTTACCAAGCCTGTTGAATCTGTTTCAGCTTTTGTTATGAGATTATGTGTCAAAGACTTTGAAGTATGAAGTTTAACTGGCAAAATCCAGGAACTAAATCCAGCAATGATAATTAAAATAATCTTCTTTTTGCGAAGGCATCTCTGTTTTAGGTTTAAAGATGAAAGCTCAGATTGTCATTGAAACTTTTTTCCCTTCCCAAGATATTTAAATATGTATGTTCCTTGTTAACGACTCTAATTTATTGGCTGAATTTTACCCTTGGATTTAAAGTTCGGTTTGATATCATAACGAATTTTGCTGTAGATGGATCAAATCGAAAATTCAATACTTAGAATGCGTTGCAAAGAACAGTATAGAATTTGAAAAATATTGGGACTGTAACCCGAATTTTGTTATTCTTTCCTTGTTGGGACTTGGGTGGTTTCAAACAAATAATGAAATTCATTTTCTTATTAAAAGGGGAAAAAAAAGACAAAAAAAGGATAGCACAGGCCATAGGGAGAGTTCTAATTTAAATAAGCTTAGTTTAATTACAGCTTTGATCCTTGTAAGATTCTATTTATCTCTTTGGCTCACCATCTAACTAACCCAAGGAATGCAGATTAGACAGGCATAAGGCAAATGAGACTCACGAAGTTATTTGTGTGCTTTCCCCAAAAGCTAGGGCTAAATTCGTACCCACAGAGTAGGCGGGAAGTTATAATTTGCTCGAGGACGGAGCTTCTACTTCTTCTTGTAGTCGTCCTTTGTTCACCGGATTAATTGGATGGCCTTGTGATACGAAAATTATCCATGGACGCGAAAGCAAATCTCAAAACTTAAATTCTTACTCCAAGATAGCCACAAACGCACTACCAAAAGGAAAAATCAGACCACAAAAATCCGAAACAAAAAAGAATATAATGGAAAGAAAGGAAAGGAGATGTGTTTTGATTTGTAACCTCTTAGATACATTCCAAATACTCTCGCCTTAATACTTATGACGAAAACGATTTGATAATGTTCTACGAAATGACAAATAAAACTCCACTATTCCAGAAACACACAACTCACAAATTTGTATTGAATAATAATTCATCAAAGGCATATTAAAAATCACGGCTAAGACCTCTTTTACAGGGCTATAGGTCGGCCAAATAGTGTAAAAATCCTATTAGAACTCTAACTAGGATTTCTTAGCCTATAAATTTTTGAAAAAAAGAAAATATTTTCTAATTATATAATTACACATGTCTCAATTATTTAATATTTATTAAAAGATAAAAAATTACCTAATTTAATGGGGTTTTGTCGAAAATATATCTAAAAAGAAAGGAATTAAAAGCAAATTTGACTTAGTTGTAGGCGTCAAAAAGTCAACGAAGAACTCGACGACCCACTATCGACTTTGTGTTGGCCGACGTAAAGCTTGATGGACTCCCTATGCTTGTTGTCGACTTTCTTTGCCGCTTGACGAGCTGTTCGACACACGGATGAACTTCAAAGAGTCGACGAAGTCATGTATAACTGTTTTGAAGATATTCAAGTCATGTATAACCGTAATAATATAGTGATCATCATGACTTGAAATAATCCCTAATGGCCTAGGAATTTTCATGTCACCTTTCAAATTTGCTTTAAAACGGCGATGGCGACGGCGACTGCGACGGCCAGTGACAAAACCAACTCCAAATATTTACGAGGTTGAGTACATATATAATTTTTTTTGCAAATATTTTAAAAATTACAAGGTAATTTTTTCAAAAAATTTTGCCGACCGCAGGGTCGACTGACCACCCTCGCTCCCCCCTGGTTTCGTCTCTGGCGACGGCGATGGCGCGGCGGCAGTGGTATGAAGTCCATCTCTGCCCCGACTTTGTGGTTCAAACAGCCATCGTGGATATTAAGCTTACTAGTAATCGTTGTAAAGAACACTTCGGAGGTGTTTTTGCTGTCAGCAATGATCACGAAGAAGCCTTATCATCTGCTCAATTTGCCGTGACCCAGCATAATGAAACCCAGGGCAAGAAGATTATGCTTCAAAGTGTGGTTAGAGCAAGCAGGATGAAGGTTGTTTGCGGGTGTGATTATTACCTAATGTTGAAGGGGATTGATGAGAATGGCGACTTAAATGTTTAATATGCAGAAGTTTGTTACCGCCCTTCTGAAAGGAAGAAGCAATTGCGGAGATGGCAACTGGTCAATGAGTCCTTTTCTTACCCATTTCACGGTACAGGATCCTTTGTGACACGTTCTTATAATACTCACTTACTGTGACACAATCTAATTATTTTTTATAAATTATATAATTTATGTTAATACATACTATTTACAATCACTTTTTTTTGGTAAAATTTTATTAATCAACAAAACTAACTTCTTTGTTGTACAACTGTTTCCTCACTATATTTACATCATCCCCTGTCTCTATTTCTGTATATGCGATATTCTAATCCTGTCTAAATAACATAAATCAGCAGCTTTCAGTTTCTTGCAAGTTTGCTGAATCCTCCATTGACGCTCTTGTTTGATGCACTTTACTCTATCTTCTGCATTTCTGGATTTTTCAGTGAATCGCCTTGCATTTCCCTCCTGCTAGATGTGGTAAACACATGCCATAACAGTTCTATTAGGCACCTTTTCCTTCATTTTCTTGAATTTGCAACCATTGGTAATTCTTTTATACACATGCCTCAACTCCCGATTTCCTATTCTGACTTCCATCCAATTCTTCGATTCCATTACCATCTGAGTTGATTACTAAAAATTAAAGAAGAGGTGCTGATGTGGTTCCTCAGTAGCCCCAGCACATAGTATACATCCTTTCTGCTCAAACCTGAAGTGCATTCGTTCCAATCTGTCTTGTGTTAAGAGTCAGTTTTGGAAAGCTAACCATTCAATGAAACTATGTTTTGGAACTCATGATCTGTCCCAAACCATAGTGGCCTCTCCAAAATTGTCCTTTTACCCTCCAATACTGATAACCCTTTTTGCGCTGTATTCCTTCTGACCTAGCTTCCAAGCACCTGTAACTAACCCCTCCTTCAATTTTGCTTGATCTGCATTAGATGTTTCCAGTGAAAGCTGCAATCAACAGGCGGTTCATATTCCCATAACTGTTGTCCCTTCATGTAACTCATTTATCCATTTCACCCAGAGCATTTTTTTTTTTTATTATTTTGCAGAAATATCCCAAACCTGTTTTGTTACAACTGCTTGAATCCATAAACCTGGTTCGTCTGTTTTGCTACAACTGCTTGAATCCATAAACTTGGTTCATTAATATTCAGTCCACCTTCCGTTGTTAGTCTACACACCTTGTCCCAAGATACCAAAGTTGTACTATTACAAGATTTACTTTCCCCCCAGAAAAACTCTCTACATACTTTGGTAATTTGAGCGATTACTTCTTTTGGCAACAAAATATACATGATGATAATTTTGGATGGTAAGTTAGTGATAATGATAATTTAACTTTTTGCACAGGATACTTAAATTGATTTCAAAAATCAGCGAAGAATGCTATTTCTTACAAATTACCAAGGGAATAAGGGCCGACAAATATTGAAATTTACCATTCCTCGATAATGAGGATCAACCTCCAAATCTTTCAAGCTTTCAACTTTGGAATTGATGACTTGTTTGCGTGTGATTCTAAATCCTTCTGTTGTCGTAATTTTCAACAATGACTCTTTGAAAAAAAAAATTCATCACCAATTTGTTAAACAAATTCTTATAATCATGGGTGACAAAACTTATAAGCATCATTACATCTATGCAGAGTTTTGATATTGTATCACGTAATCTCCATGTCCTTTTTTAAGATATATTTTTTTTGTCATTCTAGTTATTAGATCCTATTATATTAGTAGAGCAGAAATATTTGGCCATGCAAAGGATGACGTTTCAATTATATTCTTACACTTCCAATGCATTCATCCATATATTGAAACTACCAAAGTCATGACGGTAACCGTGATAAACAGGTCATAATTTGCAAAATTGAAATTGTCCCTTTGTTTCGATGCCTGCAATCAATCTATTACATGAAAGAAAACGATGAACACATTTTTTTTATCAGGTTGCTCTATTTAAAAATGTTTCAAAGCCAGATCTTTGCATTGTTAATCTAAAATCTTGTAATCATGAAAGAATCTGAATCATGTCTAATATGTATACATTTCATTGTTTATTGAGATTGTCATTTCAATTCATCCTAAATTGTAAAAGTTGAATAAACCATAACGTAACCAGTAAATACGTGTAATTCAATATCGATAATGAACATCCACACCAATAAAATTATTATTAGCAAATCAATTTATATCAGCAACCACCAATGAGAGTGGTCAATTACTGATTTATAACTGGTTTATGATTCTTATACGGAGCCACAAGCTTTTAATATTTGAACACACCTTTTTAAGTGCGCTAGTTTGGTGCCGTGAAACTTGAATAACACATTGGGATGTTCTACATTTGTACCATGGAGTTCGGTGGTGTGTTGTATAGTATAGCCATGATAATGATGCCATCGACATGCAAGCTTAAGTATTCAGTCCATGCAATGATACCCCGGATACTGTGCTCTAATGTAATCGGGTCTTTATTTTGATAGGTTTATAGTTCCCATTATATCCTTATAAGAAAAGAAACCAGATTATCTGGTTGTTATTACATGTTCTTGGCAAACAGGTCGATGTTTTGTTGACCGTGAACAAGTCGGCAATAGTTGTTGGATTTCTGTTGATGCGGTATGTTCACGAAGTATCCTCCCAGAAGGATTATTTATTGGACAAATGGTGTACTAGCCAATACATAAATTCATCCACAACAACAAATCCCAAGAGTCTCAAAATTAGCTTCTGGTTTCATTTGATACCCATAGTGAAACGTTTCAAATCATTATATCTCCTGATGATCCATTCTAGAATCGCTGTGATAATTCGGCTAAGTCAACTCTGAAAATTTTGAATACGTAGGACACACTATATCTGACGGATGAGGATTTAGTTTGCATTTCTCGTATTCATTCTATCGGGTTTGGATCATAACATTACTATTTGTACAAACCAAAAGAAAACCGAAGCTCATTATGAATAAGACATTTCCCTATATGTGGTTGTTCTATACCAGCATTAGATTTTTTTTCAGCAAGAGATTGATTCCTATTTAGTCCCAATTGCAGCTGTCTAATAAATCATGTGGAATTGTACCATATTATCCCTCTGAAATGTCCAACACCGGTCCAAGAATGGTGTTGATTAGCATGATTTTGTTGTTGTGATTTTTTTTTAATATCTATACTCTTATTATGATTTTAATCTTCAAAAAATCTATGATTATTGTTGTGTATTACTCTTTTTGTTATAGATATTTCAAAGCGTACCTCTGATTATTTTTTCGGTTTCTGGGGTTTTGGATTCTGAATAATGTTAATGCCAATGGATTGACAGACAAATCAATTTTTCCATTGACCATTATAAAATACATTAAGAAATGTTGATTATTAACCGATTCACATATATGCTTATTAGTTGTATTTACAAATTTTTTCATTTATACATTTCATTCTAATACCTTTATTATATCAATATACCAATGCAAAATGGCCGGACACAAAGGAAAAAATTTAGGGATCCCCTGATTCCACGGGTTATATCTAGTTTGCCTACTATAGTGGGATTTTATTTATTTTAATTTGTTTTTTTGGAGCCACTTAGAGGAGCATTGAAGTCTTTCTTCCTTGCTTACGGGGAAATATATTCGTTTTGTTGCAATTCATCTGCTAGAATATCTAGATTTGGGCCAATTTTGAATTTGGGCTCATTATTTTTCTTGTTGTAAGTCTGTTTGGGTTGAAAAACTCATGCCTATTCTAAAACCCATGCCTTTGTCGATGATGATGATTATCCGTAGCCCAACAGTTGGTCCTCCCATGCCTATTGGTCAGAGATGGAAAGACTATTTCTGTCATCTTAGCTATGGAGATGAACTTGTACATTCATCTGGATTACAAAGCTATATGGCAGAGAGAGCTGACAGTTGGCCACAAACATGTTTAATACATCAGTGGACGCTATGTCTTTAATCCCAGGAGGTTTTGATGAGATTCCTACCATGTTGTGTTGGAGATTTTCTGGAATTGGGCTCCTCAGGTGAATCGAGACCTAGAATGGAGGATGGCTGCACTCACTCTTTACAAGAAAGACATGGACTACAGAGATTTTTGATATTTTAAGTGATTTTTTTACCAACAACCAGCTGTGATCTTTATTGGCCAAAGGATTTGGAAGAGACTGTTATTGATGATGAGTATTATTACACTCCAACCTCTCTGCCCGTGGAGCAAACTAATGGCCACCTAGTGGTATCTGTTGAGTGGAGGAGGATATCCTCAGGACTATATATGCAAATCATCAATAGTTGGGGTACCAGTTGGGGTGAAGATGGAGTGGGTTATATCCATATTGACTGCTTGAATAGGAAGAGCTTAGTTATACCAACCATGAAAAAGAAACTATTATCCATTTGCAATGAAGAGTAAAACTATTGAGCAGAAGTTTGAGTTTCACAGACATACCTCTGACTTAATACGCCAACCCAAGAGGCAGTAGAGTTCAGACTTAAAACACGAATCGAAGAGGTAGAAAAGGCACTACTCACGAGCAGCGGTTAAATCTCTGTTTTTTTTAGAAAAAAATTAGATACTGTCCAAAAAAAAGCAATTTCATTTTTTTGTTTTTTGGTTTTGTTTAGCTAATATGTTACTTTTCATTTATAATCATGATGATTGATGTTACCGGAGTGGAGGAAGGGAATATTGCGAGTTGCTCGCTGAAGGAAAATTTTCTTATTCATTATTAATTTACAGCCTTACCCTTTTTTGCATGTATATATGTAAACCAACCAACCTTACCTTATCTAGGCCAAAAATTAGATAGGCATTCCCAGATAGATGGAGTAATCCAGGATGTTATATCAATTAAAATGATTGATGATGAGGAAGCCAATCTGAAGGACTAAAATCCACGTGAAGCTGATCCCGGTGTATGAAAGTTATACACAAATCAATCTAACTTCATGTAACATGATATGTTCGCCTAATGTCAAAAGTGAAAGTATGATAATCACTTTAC